GCCGCCCCGACTTTAACGTTAAAAGTAACCGGAAATATCGAGTTCCCCATTAAAAAAAAAACAAAAAAAAAAACACCCCTTCCATCCATTAAGTCTGCGTTTATGGGTTGTCTTAAAAAAAACAAAAAAAAAACAAAAAAAAACCTCAGTTGACTCAGAAAGAACACGTAACGTCCTTGAGAAGACACGCGGCCATATTAGTCTGTGCAGAATGGAGTTGAATCTGAGAAATGAAAATGGCCTTCACCTGCTCATGTAGACTCATTATGCTGCTACTGTTTTTTTTTTTTGTTTTTGTTTTTTTAAATAATAAAATATTCCCATTGATTACGAAACAATTAAGACTTTGTTGTGTCGATATATGTGGTTTGGTGGTAGATATTTGTGAGATTCCTATCCGTTTTGCCATCAGCGTCGAGTCAAGTACATTGATGAATAGTGGAATGAATACGAATCAATAAGATACTATATATGAAATATATATATATATGTATATAAATAAATACACAAAACACATATACCATCTTAAAAAAAGGCAAATGATTAGGAGCTATTGTTGTTTTATTAAGTCTATTGATCTCAAGCACGCACACACACACACACACACACAAACATCTTTTTGTAGATGTAGAAGTTTCCGAATTTTTGATTGAATTTGGAGCAATAATGGAATAAATATCCACAATAATAATAATAATAATAATAATAATAATAATAATAATAATAATAATAATAATAATAATAATAATAATAATAATAATAATAATAATAATAATAATAATAACAAAAATATTTCGGCTCATACAACAACAACAACAATAATAATTTTCTAGACTATTTATAAAACTAGTAGCATTAACCTTATAATAACCACGTGTCTTATTGTGGCCTGTGAGTGTCTTACTGGACTCCACACCAGGAACCTGTGACTGTTTTTGTTGTAATGTTTTAGTGGCTGTGGTTAGTTCCGTGCAGCCCTCCTTCCCAAAAGTCAGAGCAGACCGCGTCTGTGGATTCACTCAATTATTGCGCCCATAAAACGCGCTTAGGGCTCATCATGCAGTGTCATAAAGCAACAGCATGTGTTTGGGGAATAAACGTGACTTTCTCCCCCAGCCTCCGCCAAAAAACAAGAGGAGACGAGTAGAAAGAAGGGAGGAAGGAGATTCGTGCCATAAAGTCATTTAGGCCAGACAGTCCTGGTTTTATTGTGGACACT